ATGAAATTTCTTCTAACAAGACAGGTAGAGTGATTAAAGGCTCGCCTAGTTGCTAAAAGGTACTCAGACCTTTGGCGTGGATTACTTTGAGATATTTTCGCTGGCTACTCCTGTAGCAGACTAAATAATTAGCTAATTATATTTTTTTTTCCTTAAAAAAAATAATAATAATAAATAAGAAGAAGAGGAATATGTGTAATAAGTTTTATATGAGGGGGTCTTTTGTGAATGTCACCCACTTTGCTATCAGCCCCAAATTCATCATAGTCTTGATGACCCTACGTGATTAGGAGGAGTGGCAAGAGGATGAGTGTCTGATGCCTACTTTAAATTATACGAATGAATAAATTGAGAACTCTAGCAGCAGTCTAGTTCTCACCATTGTAACTTTCGAACTAAAAGTTCAATGAGGGGAGAAGAGGAGAAATAAAGGGAAAAATAAATAAATAAAACAAAGTAAAAGAAGAGGAAAAGGTAATTTCTCTTCTCTCTTATTAGTATTCTTTGATTATGTAAAGATATATAGATAGAACGAAATACCAGTGGCTCTTCGCGATTGAAATGGAGATTAGATAAATCATTTGATAGAAAAAAATTACAAACCTAGATCCGACTAAGGTCTCGCCGCCGACCACCCCTAATCGCCGACAATTACTATCGCCATCCTGCTGCACGACGAGAGATATGAGGGATCGCCGGTGAACCCCCGACAATCTCGTGAAAAAAAAAACGGAATGAGAGAGGATAAGGGGATTGGATGAGGAAGAAGATATAGAATAACAAAGAAAATTTGGGACCCCTGGAAGTTTGAGTTTGTAAATATGCCCAGAATATATAGGAAACAAATTTTTTTGCTTAAACCCTGTTGCGCTGTTAATTTGCCAAGAGGCTCGAGCATAGAGTTAAAGCATGAATAGGCAAGGATATTTACATATGGACCCATGTCATTCTCTCTATTTGCAAATAAGTCCAATTTAAAGAATAAAAGAACTTTTAGGCCTAATTAATTCCCTATAACCCCATGTCTTATCATAAATCATTAGGAAGTCCAAAAACTAGTATATAAGAGTTATAAAATTTTGATAGATTGCTAAAGTTGGCAATAAGCTCATATGTATCCTAGTTATAGATTTTAATTATTATTGATTATATTTGAATTTATTTGGCTCTAGATTATGAATTGATTAACCTATAATATATGTTGTCATGAATTAATATTAGCTTTATATCTTCATATTATAGGTTCTGGTTGATATTCAGGAGAACAATATTTTAAGGAAGTCGTGACCACTAGAGGTGAGTTCATTTCTCACAAGTATTTTTATACTATAAAATTGCACGAGTATTATCAATTGATTGATCTTGATTATTCTGTTATATTGTCATATATAGAAAATGACATGTGATTTGATCAATTCTATCACAGCCTAACTCATAATATGATTTTGATTTCTTATGAGATATTAAAAGTAAATTTGATTTCATATAAAATATGAAAATTGAATTTAGCCCTCATGCGATCTCAAATAGTTGTGGATATTGCTTTATCTGAAAGCATTTGAAGAAATATTTTGAACGTGTTTCAACAGTTTAATGGATTCAAAGATTTTCCAAGACTTAGTATCTAATAAAAATGGGGAACAGTGAAATCCGGAACAATGAAATCCGTAAACTGATTTAACCAAAATGATGAGTTCTAAACTCGTCCGCTTGATTTGAAAATGTTCAACAAATTCTGATAAGTGATGGGTTTCTAATTTGACAAATGATTCTCGATGCATTTAAACCCTCAGCAAGTCCACTTTGGAGTGTTATGCCTGCCATATGATGAATGCACATTTATTTAGCCACCCTATATTCGTCCCTTCTGTATTTGGCCCTCATGTATTTAGCCCTTCTAAAATCTGTTCTGGCCCTTCTGTATTTGGCCAGTAACCTATAACCAATGTTATAAATAGCGGTAAATAACCCCGCAATAGCGGCGCTAATAGCGTTAACGGTCCCTTCCCGTGACGCTATCGCCCGCTACGCTATCGCGCAATAACGGTGACATATTGAGGAATATATCTGTTCGCAAAAATGATCAATAGTGTGTCATAACAGTAAATAGTGAGCGATTACATTCGAAATTTGCTTTTTGACTGCTATTTAAAAACGGTTTAAGGCTTATTTTTTTAAAATTAAACTCAACCATTGACCATTGCATTCCACCGTCTCTTGTGATTTTCAGCATACTCCCGCCACCTCTCATAGCATCTGGCACCTGCATTGACATTTCCTCTTACCTCCTTCACCGTGAGCTCCTCTTAGAGCAGTCCTGTCACCGTTAAGCTCTTCTTCTCGAAGATGATGATTTTTTGACTCCTTCAATCATCTTCGATATTACGTGATTGTTACATGTCTGTTTCATGTTTAGGATCTCTTTAAATCATCCAATATGTACTTTTAGATTTCTTAGATTTTTTTAAATTTTTTTAGTATTTATACATATCTAAATTAGACCGCTATTTGACTTTACGCTTTTTACCGCTATTTTATCGCAATAGTCCGAAATAGTCTTAGCGATGTCTCACCGCTACGCGACGCTATCCGCTATCGGTAACCTTGCCTATAGCAATGTTAGGTGCATTCGATTCCCGAAAATTATCTGTTATGTGATGCGTTTTATGCATTCTCATGCTACTGGGCTATAATTCGTAGTCTTTGTGTGACCTATGAGGTGATTTTCACATTCACAAATGACACATCAAGATTTAAGATTCTAACAATTGACTGTAAAATAAAGAAAATAACAAACCTTTGGTTTTGCACAAATTTAATAGTCCATTTCTTTCTTAGTATTTACCTTGTTTTAAAAAGGGGTTTGATTTTGGAATATATTACAGTATATTTAGTTTGCAAATAAGAAAGAAACATAAACTGTTGCATTTCTTTCATAAAAAATAACAATAGTATATTGTTTGGACCATACCTTGCTGTTTTTGAAATTATGGTGCAAAACTTATAATTCGTTATTTCTAGGAATTATTATTATTGTTATTATTTTGTTAGCTATCTAGAAACTCTAGTGGGCAATGTTCTCACAGAGCCCTAGCTCACCCCATTGTTTTTTTAAATTTTTTAGATCTCGCCTAGCTATATTATAAGCTGAACTTTTGGTTGTTGCACATCGCTGAGAAGCGTTTTATGGGAAAATCTCCTCTTTGGTGTTTCATACAGTCAACAATATATTTTGTGAAATGCTTGTAACGATGAGCTTGTGGGTTATAAATAAATATATATATATATATATATATTAGCTCTGAACTTCTATCATCAGCAAGTTTATATATGTTTTAAGATAAGTTATGTGATATGAAATGTCAGGCTTGACTCATATTCGAGACTTGTCTCGTGCATAGGTCGCTGCTGTTACATAAACTTTATTTATGAATTTTCACTGTAAATTCGGAGCGTGACAACTCGCTTGCATTTAGTGCGAATCTTATTATCTGTTACAATTGTGAAAAACTAATCATTTTTTTAGCTAGGTATCAAGAATGCCTTTTTGCATGGTGATTTGTGAGAAGAGGTGTACATGGTTCAGCCACCAGAATATAAAGTTTAGCGAGAGCCCACTAAACTCTATCACCTTAAGAAAGCCATCTATTGTTTGAAGCAATCACTTCATACATAGTTTGATAAATTCAAAACTGTGGTTAGCAACTGTGTCTTGAAGCGTACTACATCCGATCATTCCATTTTTGTGCGGCATTCTAACACCGGTACAATTGTCCTTGCTGCGTATATGTGGATGATATCGCTATATCGGATGATGGATCATCTGGGNTACTTTCTTGTGATAGAGGTTGCTCGTTCCTCAAAGGGGCTAGCATCTCAATGAAGTATCTTCTCGATCTTCTTGATGACACTGGCATGCTTGATTCGAATCCTGTTCGTACGCCTATGGACTCTCGAATTAGATTTGATCAAGATTTTGGGGAAGCTCTCTCTGATCCTACGAGTTATCCGAACCGATTGGCGAGCTAATCTATTTTATGGTTACATGTTTCAATATCACTTATGACATTGGAGTTCTCAGTCGAGATATGCATAATCCACATCAGCTACATTGGTCTGCAGCTTTTCAAGTACTATGATATCGAAAGGTACACCAAGGAAGGACTTCTTTATCGTCTTCCAACAAATTAGATATTGTAGCAACTCTGATGCTGATTGGGAAAATTATCCTCTTGATCGGCACCGTATTAGTCGTTATTGCACTTTTGCTGGAGGCAATTTGGTCACTTGGCACAGTAAGAAACAAACAGTTGGTGCCCTTTCCAGTGCCAAAGCCGAGTAGAGAACTACGGCTCATGCCGCATGCGAGATGACTTAGGTTCACATTCATTCATTGTTGCAGGAGACAAATATTGTTTTCTCAATGCCTATGACACTCCACTATGACAAGCAAGCAGCTATCTACATTGTAAGCAATTCTGTGTTTCTTGAGCGGACAAGGCATATTGAGGCGTAGCCATTTTATTCGTGATACGGTGTTATCTAAGAAGATTATTACTCTACATGTTCGATCGACCGATCAATTGCTGACATACTTACAAAAGCCTTGCCACAATCGTTGTTTGATGTAGTTTGTAACAAGCTAGGCATGATTAACATCTTTGCAGCAGCTTGAAGGGGAGTGTTAGAATAGCTAAGTAATTTATTTCTTGTTTACCAATTTACGCTATCTTGTACCCCAACTTTGGCTTGTACCCCAACTCTCCTTATAGCACAAGTTTTTTTCTCCTCTATTTAAAGAGGTGAGGCATCCATAATAAAATAAATCTTGGTTTCTTTTCTTTATAGTGAGTAACAACTAACAAGCCTATTTGTAACCCTAGGCAACAAAAAGTTCAAGCACTATTTATTTGCAAATTAAGAGAATTCTGGGAGAACAGCCAAAAAGATTGTTGATGAACAAAGAATACTACAAAATATCAACGACTAGCATCATGTACCTCATCTGTTGAACCAAAACGATTCTTCACTGATCTTAGCAAACGATAAGACGAGTACCTCTCACCCTAAAATTAGAAATGCACTATAAATTTAGTCTGCAATATGTTAGGCTATACATTTAGTTAACTGCATAAATCATGAAAGAAATTTTTTGACTGGATGGAGATGAAACATGCTCAAAGATTTTCAATGGAGAGTGTAGACTAAACTATAGTTGTGGTGCTTTCATTATTGTGTGTGTTTTTTTCTTTCTTTTTTTTTTATTTTTGGTGGGGGGGGGGGGGGGGGGGGAGCTAACCTATGTTCCACACGACCCTGATGAAAGTGATGGTACAATGATTTGAAAGGGTGACCTTTCTGTTTGATATCTAAATCTGGGAAAGGTTATGCTCCGAAACAGGTTTACTGATCATGTGCTTGTCCATTTCCAAAACTTTTTTTATTGCATATGGAAATTGTAATGCTTTTTCTGACTTATATTCGTAACAGTATTCTAGAGAGCAGTATCAAGACCAACTAGAGCATACAGCCCCTTCGATGTGCCCACCTTGCTTGTGGACTATCTTGATTGGTTGCTGGATACCTGCACCCTATTATGCAATTGCTTTGGATTTAATAGAAAAGTTAAAGAAAAATAAATAAAGGTCAGATAAGGACAAAAGAGAAGATAAGAAAAGAAATGCATCAAAGGGAATATAATAAATACTAAGTACAACATAAAGTTCTCTAATATACTATAAATTACACTGATTGAAATGAACCTCACAACCCGAATAGTTATACTTCATGTCCTTAATCTTTACTAGATTAATTTATAATTCTGAATTCTAAAGTTAAACATCTTCATACATCTTTCTTGCATGAAAAGCTAGACATTTAGTTCCATTAATCTTCTGTAAAATTACCTGTGATGCCACATTAATTTGTCAAAAAAGAAAAGAATATTTGCACTGCACATCTAAACAGTCGAAACACAATCTCCCGATTAATCTGCACACTTCGGACTCAATAAAAACTGTCAAGCGTTCTATAGCTGCCAAGTCATATACCCATCTCAGAATTGTTGAGATAATCATTGGCACTCTGGAATGACATTAATGTGTATGGCATGATAGATATTCTTCAGAAGGCGCTTGTTAAGATGGGCTGTTATTTGATTAAGGGAAGAGGTACCATTAGCCTAGTAATATCTGCTAACCAATCACCTGCTCCCATAAAACTAAAAAGGACTACATCAGACCTTCTGTTAGTAAGTTTGCATCACGTGTATCATTGATATTGTAACACAGATGTTACGAGAATTATTTATTTTTGGTGCTTTTTTAATCACATAATATGTAGTTCCATCATGAGCTTCCAACAGTGTGTCACAGTCAGATATTTCTTATTAGCAATAGGAAACAAACCTCCATGTATAAGACAGCGTCCACTATGTGCTCTAAAATACGAGGCCCCGCTATATCTCCTGTTTTTGTAACATGTCCAATCTGAAAATGGTGAAAATACATGTATGTTACTCAACAAAATGCATATATAAGTGGATCGGCCTGAATTAGACTCTCCTGCAGGCAAGAAAACAATGCTGTACATAAACATCCTGCACTAGCTGCAAGAATGTACGAACAAATCACAAGTAGAATTCTCAGCATTTGTGGAAAATGAACATGCACATGAGACAACGAAGTACAGATAAAAAATAGCCAAAGCAATTGCTAGTATTTCGATTGGAGATGACTTTAATCTGAACTAACATATTGTCCTAACCAAATTAGGAGAATAAAAATATAAATTCAGCATGCTTGTAATAAAAAGGACTTCAAGCTGTTTAACAAGGAGAACTGCATGACCAATCTTCCAAACAGACGTGCATAATCATCTCCGCTGACAAATCAAATTTGGCTTTACTTTCATGACATCAGCTCTCATTTTCTTCTTGCATAAATACAAGCATTAGGAGACCAGTTATCATTACTATTTTGACTAGCACAATTTCTGGCTTTTATCAGGAATGGCATCCACAGAAACCTATCCACCGCTCCATGCATCAGGTCATACAAATAAAGACTAAATTAAATTGAAGGTAATGTTTGCTTTTTACCGAGGCTTCCTGACCTTTATCAGGGATGGCATTCAGATGAAATTCTCTTTTTGGTTCATCCATGATCGTGGATCACATAAACAATGAACATTAAAGGTAAGGATAGCTTACTAAAAGCACTGGAATATTTGTTTGCTTAGCAAATCGTAGCAATGCAGATGTGCACTCCTTCACCTGTATAAATAGGAAAATAAGTTGCATGTACAAAGTATAAGAATGTAAATAATATTGGAAATTCCAGAAAATAGCAGAATTGATGTTCTGAAAATCAAATGTTACAGTTAGCATTTAACTAGCTAGTTTTATTGAAGAACAATGGAAAGAGAGTCAACTTAAATAATAAGAACAACAATTCAGTGCCAAACTATTCCTTAACACCTTTGCACAAGTGCTTCGTAAGAGTCAGGAGCAAATCTTTTGTAGACTATGCTTACAGTGATTGATCAATACAATAGCTTTACAGTTTGATATATAAATGATATATAGTACTTAGATGCATATGTTCAAGCACAACTATATACAATATGTGATTTTAATTTTAGCAAAATGGCAAGCATTATGCTCAGGTTAGACCCTGTCTGTAATTTTAATACTAAGTTTCGAATGCCAATAATAATGATCAAATTGTGGTTGCATGCTCTCACAGAGATCTACAGACAGGGTCTAACTGACATGCTACGAACTGCAAGTAGCCATAGCCATTAGATCACAAGCCACGATGATACAAAACCCTCATACCTAATTATAACTCAATAAGAGCAACCAACAATGAAAAACTCCAGCATACAAAATTTCAGACTATGAACTCCTATAACAGAATATTTGCTAAATATGCAAATCGATTCAATTCACACGTCTATAAGATAAATCTGATTACTGTTTTAAGGTTTTGAGTTTAGACACCTAAATCTATGTCCCGTATCTCCAAGCCCTAGTTGGAGACATATAATATAGATTCAAGTGTCTAAAATATACTTCTCAAAGCCGTAAAACAGTAACCAGGTTTGTCTTATAGACGTGTGAATTGAAGAAAGGTCCCACATAATATTTGTTAAATATGCAAAATAAAACAGTATGGTATGTCCATAAGATAAACCTGTTTACTGTTTTAAGGGTTTGTGAAATATATTTTAGACGTTTGAATCAATGTCATGTGTCTCCAACTAGGGTGCTAACAGCTAGTCTGCAACACATGCAAAAGGCTGTAAGTGATTTCTATATGTTAATTCCAGTATTTAGGTAAAGCAAAGGATCAAGAATTTTTCTATGGGGAGGGGGTTCATGATTACTGGAATGGTGTTTTTGTGTCAGCGCACTGTGTGCATGTATGTGATATAGAAAGTAATTAATTTTATGGATCACCAACCTGCATGACAGTCCCAGAAAATAATTAATTTTATGGATCACCAACCTGCATGACATTCCCAGCACTTCCAGTAACTCCTTTTAGATAGACTGTCTGAATTGAATCCACAATAACTGCTTGTGGAGAGAGTGCTTGAATCTTGTCCAATATGTCCTGCATAAATGTCAATAAAATCAAAACCTAATAATACCAACATATAAAAGGATATTTGAGTTTATTGAATTCTTAGACAATTGTATTTCCAATAAGTCGCTACACGGTATCAAGTAATAAGTTACCAGGGTTCTAAATCCAATAAGGAAATCTAGATTGATGAGGAAGTTTAATAAGTGGATGCAACGGACTATTACAAACCGTAATAAGGAAATATTTTGTTTCTTTCGATCCAGGTTGAAGCTTAGAGCAGCAATACCTTTTCACAAATACAGGCTTAAGAAAATCATCGACATATTCCGTGATGGCAAGTGATAAATGAAATATTTTACAATACTTACGTAGAGAAATTAATTAAGTCACCAAGGCAGCTTTTATCCAACATTTGAACAGTATGTACGTAGTAGATATTCATGTATGTATGTAAAACAGAGTGTACCGAACACTTCAACAAGAATGTACAAGTTGCAAACTAATCTTAGATCACCAAAAAAGGAATGTAACCTCGGCAAAAAAAAAGAATATAACCTTGAATGGTAAAGTGAAATGTAGAAGTACGCACCTCAATATCAGTACTTGAGTACAAGAAAAGTTCCGCCGTTGTGATTCTCATGCGATCTGCCCTGTTCCCAATTTGTTCGATGCTCTGTCATATTAGAAAGTAAAATTTATTGTAAAGTGACTATTTGAGATGGCAATAAACAAGTATATAACCAAGAGCGCGAAAAAAGAAAGAACGAACGAAGTTGATAATGGACTTGCCACAGATGATAACTATTACTAATGTGGTAAACATGAGAAACAAAAGAAACAATTCATATGTCACTAGCACATGTACACCGCGGTTGGTCAGAGTATAGAATGCAGGTACCACCAAAAAAAAAACAAAATAGCGTATATGCTTCAAAAAACCACCAACACCACTCCAAAAACAGAATCCAACAAATATGTATGATGACAGGAGCACAACCTCACCCCAAACTGGATAGCAGTATCATAGACCTTTACAAGGGCGGATTTAGACATAGGAGTTCAGGTGCAATTGCACTCCTATAAATTTAAATTGCATACAACTTCTTGTAATATTTACAATTTGGCTTCCCATAAATTTTGAAAATTTGCACAACACAACCTATCTCAAAACACTAAATAAGTTAACAACAAATTGAATTAACTCATTAAAATTTTACCCAATGCACTCTCATCAGGTTTTATAGTTATATAATATTATATTTTTATTTTTACGTAAATAGATACTTGTTGTCCACCCTAATAAAAAAAATTTGGATCCACCACTGGACCTTTATAAGGGGTATGAGAACCATCTGTTTGTAGTGATATAGAAGTTTTATCATGTGATTGCTTATGAAAATGCTGTCCTTCATACAGCAGAGTTGGCAAGCTGCTCAGTAGATACATTAATGGCAAAATCTCCAAGGCATTTAAACACATTCCACACCTACGAGTATGAGAAGATGTGCTATATTTGATCGAGCCAGAAAATTGGTCCCCAAATGCGATGGACGAAGCAACAGGAATATTCTCTTCAATTTTAGGAATTAAAGGGGTCTAATGATTTTATAATCTTGTTCTACTACCATAGAGAAGATATTAGAAAAATAAAACACCTTCATTTAGCTCTCTATCAGTCTATGAAAAAGTCTCTCTATAAAATCTGTTGTCTTATCCAAGGGAATCCTATTCTGATTATGTTAGGTATATTATCATTTATCATCAATTGATATGTAGTCAATGTAGATGTTACTCTCCACCTGTTTTTTTTTTTTTTGGAACCACGTGCATTTGTATCCTTAAATCATTTCTCATTGATCCATACTATTTGATACAAGGTCGCACGTGACGTAATCCATACTAGACAAGGTTGAGTGTTATGTGATCCATACCATATAAGACAAGAGTTGAATGTGTGCACATACACGAGGAAATACTTAATACTTAACAGTTAAGTAGAAACAACCTTGAGATCAATGGCGGATCTAGAAAAAAAAAATTAGAAGGGCAGACAACAAGTATATGTATACCCAAACTTAAAGATACTAATGTGAAACAACATTCTTAATAAATGGGCTACATTGCTAACTTAAATGAGCTAAAATTCAAATGGAGGTGTAGGCTTGTAAGGTTCAGTGCAAATAAATTTAAATTGCCCGGGCGCGACGGGGGGCGAAGGGGCGCAAGGCGTAAGCATAGAAGGCTCTAGAATGCAATTTTCCATATCCTTAGGGGTGCAACTGCCCTCCTGTGTTTACACTTTAGACTTACATCTGCCTCACTCTAGAATGCAATTTTTCATATCTTTAGGGGTGCAACTGCCCTCTTGTGTTTACACTTTAGACTTACATCTGCCTCTGCTTGAGATATATTACCCTACTAAGCTAAAAAAGTCATAATAATTATGAATAACCATTAATGAACTTAGAGAACATGAAACAGTTGTATTGATTGCAACTCATATTTTTTGTTGTAAAATTCAAATCATAATAATTATGAACCATTAATAAACTTGTGACTTATTGAGAAATATTGCAAATATATGGCAAGCTTATAATCTAGAAACACATGAAAGTTGTTATTTGCCTAGTTTCCTACTTGTGAAAACTTTTTTCAGTGTGGTTTTCTGTTACTTGAGGCCCAAACTTTATTGTTTTGATTATCTCATTTAGCAACTATACTCTATAAACAAAGAATCTTCATTTTTCTATTCTCCAATCACCAATCAGGAACTTGCAATCATGGGGAAGCAGTCATAGTTGAATCATTATCAAAAAGTTTTTATTCCTTCCTACACTCAGGTAATATCTTGTTGCTCATATACATGAATTCCTTGATAATTTCTTTGGTTTAAAACATACATATATTACGTTGATGCATATTTTTAATTTACATATTAGATGGTTTTACAGTGCAGCATTAATGAAGCTGACGAAGATGGATTATTGTGGCACAACTAGCTAATTTAATTTAATTAGGCCATCATTTTACTCATGTAGTTCATAATTTATAAAAGTTACCTTTAGTTGGAGTTGAACTCTTGCTTTTGCAATGCTCAATAGATATGTTATGTTCAATTGCAATTAGCATTACATTGATAACTCTCAAAATCTTAATTTGCTTAGGGTATTTTGAAACTGGATGCATAAGTTTTATGGCGTCAAGGAGACAACTATACATAAGAACCTAATTTGGCATTGGTGATTACTGATTACTCCCTCGAGTTATATCATAATTTTTTAAAAATCTATCTTATTTCTTTGAACCTCCACAATAACATAATGCCATACTGAACAACCAAGAAATCTCAACTGTTCACTAGCATTATTCATAAATAAAAGTTTTGCTTCTAAAAATTGACATCCTATCTTATTCTTTGAACTTTAAGTACAAACCTCCAGAATAACATAATGATACACAAAAGTTCCAAGAAATCTTAAGTATTCCCTAGAGTCTAGTATTATTTAAAAATAGAAATTGATTTGGAAAATTGACGCTACACTTGGAAGATGTTTTACATGCATGATAAAACCGAGAGAGTGAATAAATATGAGGCTCTACTGTATATGCCCTCTATATTTGATGATAGTGAATTTGTAATTGCCAGTTAAAGACTCAATAGGGATAGTACCCTATTGCACTATTTGGATGTGGAGTTCTGCCTCTTATGACTGGGTTCTGTAGGTATTAGCCAATACAATAGAGAGTAAATGCTTCTGGATATGCGGAACATGTTGAATGCTATTGTTGATTGTTATTTGTTAAGCACATTGATTTTTCATATTCAAATTTAGAACTCATTTGGATCATTTTTATTAGAAGCATTCTTTAGGTTTCTTAATTTGATTGTTTTATTTCTGTACAGTATCCTAAAATATTTTGACCACCGTTAGTCTGTATAAACTCTCTAAGTTTTATTATTCATGTAGAAATTTAATTACATCATGTGTATTAGTTATCCAAAGATTGGTATTAGACTTCTCCATTTTAGGTGTTTTGACATTTTATAGTTTCTAATTCATTAGCCAATACAATAGAGAGTAAATGCTTCTGGATATGCGGATGTTTTCTCTCCATCACTATTAAAATGGGTGGATTGTTGCTAATCTCTTGTTCAGCTAACAGCATAACATGTTGAATGCTATTGTTGATTGTTATTTGTTAAGCACATTGATTTTTCATATTCAAATTTAGAACTCATTTGGAACATTTTTATTAGAAGCATTCTTTAGGTTTCTTAATTTGATTGTTTTATTTCTGTACAGTATCCTAAAATATTTTGACCACCGTTAGTCTGTATATACTCTCTAAGTTTTATTATTCATGTAGAAATTTAATTACATCATGTGTATTAGTTATCCAAAGATTGGTATTAGACTTCTCCATTTTAGGTGTTTTGACATTTTATAGTTTCTAATTCATTGCAGTTATTACATAAAGCTATTTCTGGACAAGAAATATGCAATGCCTTAGCTGTTGCTTGATGCTGTTGTTGCACATTTGATGAGGTTTCTTACTAATGAAAAGGTCATGCCTGTAATATAGCATTAGTCACTTCTTGCCTTTGTGCAAAAGTAAACTTTTCTGAATCTATGATGTCATGATTTATGTGTGGTTTCTGATTTTATTATATTCAAAATATCATGAGTATTTTCTTATACTCTATTTTGGATTTTATTAGTGACCCACTAAACCTGTTAACTACACATAATAGTTAAAGTTTCATAACATTTCAAGCAATAATGTCCTTATAAGGTAAACTAGTTGATGTTGAATGCATTCCCACATGCTGTAAACTTTGATAGTTGTTCCCATCCCCAAACTCTTCCCCCATCCTTAATATTTTACTCTTATGTTTTAGAATTTTTTGAATTCAACTATTCTCCAAACTATTTCCCCATCAAGGGAAGTGGGCTGGTAATGTACAAGGTTGTTTGAGAACGCCTTCATCAAATCCTCTTGCAACTAGCATGATTCAACATCTTGACCATTTGCTTCTGTGAAGAGGGAATTTGCCGAAACTTGCACAATATCCTAGCAGACTAAGGTGATCTTGTAAGACTGTAACCAATTGTAGCTTGGTATAACAGTAAACCGAAAGTTAGAGGAATGTCAAGATGCACAGTTAAAATCTTGGAGAGATGCAGTGCGCATACCTTCGCTAACAAACACATGCTATACATATGCAAGCACATGTACACACATACTGAAGGTGAAGACAGTGTGTCCCATAACCCATTAGGTTAATCTGTTTGTTTGCTCAAAAAAATCAGAAATGTCCTGCCACCTCACCTTTCAAGAAAACCCCCATGTGCCACATGGGTTTTTGTTTTCAAGAGTTTTCTATTTCTCATGTTTGTTTCATTTTTAAATTTCAAGAAATGAAATGACACATAGGATGCCACCTCACATTTTCAAGAAATGTGTTTTCACAACAAAAACATGTGAAAACACTAGGAAATGTCACTTCAGAGAGTTATTAATGGGTAAAAGCACTGTTTGAGAGTACCATGATGAATAAAACCTATTTATTTAATGGGACATTTCTCTTTTCCTTTTTCTTCTTCTCAAACAAACAAAATAAATGGAAATCAAAAGCACTGTTACTATGGAGGCTTTTTTTGTTTTTTGTGT